AATCAACTAAAACAAAGAGTAAAGTAAACAAATAATGATAAAAACAAAATAAAGCAAAAACTAATAAAAAAATAATTTACAAAAAAAAAAGAAGTGAGGACGGGGTTACACCAAAATAACAAAATCTAAATAATTTACACACAAAAAACAAAACAAAAGTGAGGACGGGGTTATACTCACTGTTCAGAACATCGCTCATCTTCGGGTAGTGGAACTCGTCTCGGAACGCCCTCAGGGGGTCCCGGCTGTCCATGAGTCTGGCAAACTGCTCGTCCGCCATGTCCAGCCCAGACTCGGCACACGCCTTCTCCAGGTCTTCCAGTGGGTGGTGCTTGGCCATGATGCTCTCTCGGACTCTGCTACGACTGCTGTGTTCTCGCTCCTATCTGTGCTTTTGTTTCAACAGCGCCGCTTGCTGGTCTTGTAGAAGAGACAAGAGAAGCGATATAATAATTCCTTTGTAACAGCTGGAGTCTGTCAACAGTTTCACAAGACTTGCAGAAGAGACCAAGTAACAATATTCTTTTATCTCTCTCTAAGGAGTCTTTCAGCAGTTTTATAAGACTTGCAGAAGAGACAAATAAGCGATATTCTCCTCTCTATTGTGTCTTTCAACTGTTTCACAAGATTTGGAGAAGAGACAAATGAGCGATATTCTCCTCTTTACTGCGTCTTTCAACAGTTTCACAAGATTTGCAGAAGAGACAAATAAGTGATATGTCTCTCTTCTCTCTCTCTCTCTCTCTCTCTCTCTCTCTCTCTCTCTCTCTCTCTCTCTCTCTCTCTCTCTCTCTCTCTCTCTCTCTCTCTCTCTCTCTCAAGTCTCTAGGCAGTTCCACTGGTTTTGGTCAAACAAACAAATAAGTGATGTATAAATGGCTCCCTCTGTATGTTGTACCGTTCAATAGCTCCAAAGGGCTCCGGTCTGCGTGCGGGAGAGACAAAGAATAAACATCTGCTGCAAAATCGTACCCACAAAACCCAGTCTGATGTATTAATTCTCTGCTTTAGTGATGTGTCCCGCCAGACTCAATTACGGCGCGCACACGGATTATCATATTAAAGAAAGGATCACGGGCCTCGCATAGTTTTACACTGTTTTTAAAAATTATTCCTCTCTTTAGAACTTTTTATTTTTGTTTCGAAAGAGAGAGAGAGAGAGAGAAAAAGAGAGAGAGAAAGAGAAAGAGAGAGAGAGAGAGAGAGAGAGAGAGAGAGAGGGAGGGAGGGAGAGGGGGGGGGAAGCAGGAGCAGAGCGAAAACAAGAACAAAAACAGCTTTTACAGCCCTTTTGCAATAGTTCGCACAAGACAGTAAAAAAAAAAATCGCTGGGAAACGAATATATTATAACGTTACGTATTATGAAGAGCCACTCAGCCAGGTCACGCCCCCTGAAGCAAAAACTAAGCCATAAATGTACACTTCGTCACACAGTAGGCTACATTTCATAGGAAATATACACAATGCATACGCACTGCGATACAGAGATGGACATTTCTAGTTATGGTGATAAAAGCGTACACTAAGTTGAGATCCCTTAAAACAATAACAGACACAAAAGCCCTGACAACGCCCATGTAGGTGTGTGTGTGTGGGGGGGGGGGGGGCATAGGTTGACTATCGGGAAGCAAAGCATAGCATCTGCCGTGATACTGCGCGTCGTGAGAGGGCAACTAAATGCGCAGGATCAATCCGGAGACGTCTCCGCCGGAGGTAGACCAATCAAAATACTTTGTGCCTCTAGACAAAGTTAAAAAAAATCTGGGAAGTACCAAGCAACGCCAGAAACACGGCGTGCTTCCCTTTTATAAATCCGACACACATGTTAACTTAAACATACTATATAGTTATGTGACATGCACAATCACGACTGACTGAGAAAAAAATTTACAATTTATTTTAGTAGAGGTTTTACGGCGCTCGCAACTGCATAAGGTCATATGAGCGCAAATTATATTTAACAAAATCGGTGAGGCAAAATATTGACACAAGGGTCAGGTTGAAAGCAATATGAATACACGAGTCGCACTTTTATTGGCAGCTAGGTTCTTCGACTCGCAAATTCCCATTTTGGTTTAGACACGGTGCAATCATTTTCAGTGGGTTGTTGTTGTTTTGTTGTTGTTGTTGAGTTTAGTTTCTGTTTTACTACGTATGTTTTTTACACACCCATTGACACAGTTTAAATGACTAATTTAGGGGGTGGACTTCAACCCTGCCTGTAATGACCAACCCAGGCTATGATCAAGGATACAACATCCCAGTATCAGGGATACAACATCTCAGTATCAGGGATACAACATCCCGGTATCAAGGATACAACATCCCGGTATCAGGGATACAACATCTCAGTATCAGGGATACAACATCTCAGTATCAGGGATACAACATCCCAGTATCAGGGATACAATATCCCAGTATCAGAGATACAACATCTCAGTATCAGGGATACAACATCAAAGTATCAGGGATACAACATCAAAGTATCAGGGAAAGAACATCCCGGTATCAAGGATACAACATCAAAGTATCAGGGATACAACATCTCAGTATCAGGGATACAACATCCCGGTATCAAGGATACAATATCCAGGTATCAGGGATACAACATCTCAGTATCAGGGATACAACATCTCAGTATCAGGGATACAACATCCCAGTATCAGGGATACAACATCCCAGTATCAGGGATACAACATCTCAGTATCAGAGATACAACATCTCAGTATCAGGGATACACCATCAAAGTATCAGGGATACAACATCAAATTATCAGGGATACAACATCCCGGTATCAAGGATACAACATCCCGGTATCAGGGATACAACATCTCAGTATCAGGGATACAACATTTCAGTATCAGGGATACAACATCCTAGCAGATGGACCAAGTTACAAGTCAGTTACTCATCTTGCAAAATTCTCCCGCTCGAGTATCAGAGTCTGGCCTCCTGCGTGCAACGACGAAGCGCCTACCTGCTAAACCACAGTATTGCCGATTATTGCAATATTTTCGATTTCCGGACTATATATATATATTAATGTACAAATAAAGACCGTTCATTGGCTTATTATAGTCCATGATGTCTTTAAGCACAGTCATCGGGAGAAAGCATAAGCGTGCGTGAGTGCGAAACGTGTTTTATGCTGCCGTATTTAAATTAAAGCCGGCAGGGACTGTGTGAAAGCATAAGCGTGCGTGAGTGCGAAACGTGCCAGCATAAAACACGTTTCGCACTCACGCACGCAGTCCCTGCCGGCTTTAATTTAAATACGGCAGCATAAAACACGTTTCGCACTCACGCACGCTTATGCTTTCTCCCGATGACTGTGCTTAAAGACATCATGGACTATAATAAGCCAATGAACGGTCTTTATTTGTACATTAATTGTTGACGTATAAATGTAACTCCCCTGTCTATGCTGTAAGGGGCGGAATAACCTCCGAATTAAACAGTTAAAAACCCATCTCCGAGAGGACTAAACCAAATGGGTGTGGGGGAGGGGGGCATAAAAACTCGCCCTAAATCAAGCCAATTGGGGATCCCAACAAGGGACATGTGCTCCGCGGTAGCCTAGTTTAGCATGACATCAGCTGAGCTAATCGTATCAGCAGCATTAATAATAAATAGCATTTTTATAGCGCATATCCCTGCTCAACAGCAGGCTCGATGCGCTTTACACTATATTATTACCCCAGCAGACCATAGAACACTCCGAAACATTTTCAGCTTCCCGGGAAGCATACAGTGCAAGCAGCTGATTAAGCGCTCAAACAGTAACAAACTGACAAGATCTTTCGCTGTCTTTAGCAGGGCACCCATTTCCACCTGGGTGAAGTGAGGAAAATTCGTGTAAAGTGCCTTTCCCAAGGACACGCACAACGTTGGGCCCCTGACGGGATTCGAACACACGACCTTACGGTTGCGAGTCCGAAAACCTAACCACTTGGTCACCGACGCCACATTAACGACCTCGATGTAAGACAACCACAAAAATCGGAACTTGCACTTTCATTATCATGTATATCGCGTTTTTTTATTTAGCACACTTGGACATTAACAAAGCCAGGTAACATCTGTTGATGTTTAAAAGACACATGCCGCGAAAGAATATTTTATTTAAATTGGCATTACATACGTAGGCGTAACAGTTAATCACATTTACTTAGTTTAATTTCAGTGAGCGTTTTTAACGGCGCTTGCAATACAATAGGGTCACACATGTGCCGAAGATTATAAATGTTACAAAGAGAGCCACAAGCACAAAAAAGGAGGAGAGATAAAAAAGAGGTATGCTTGCCAAGAAGATGGAGCAGACCACACCGAAACACCAAACCAACCACCCACTAACAATCACATTTTGTATTAGTGTAAGTGAGTCCAGACAGAGAAAAAAGAACCCTGTAGGAAAACAGCCTAACGGCAGGGCAAACACTGGCACTCGCGACTCGCACGTATCTGAGACAGGTTCGTTTGGTCAGTTAGTTTAAGTGAAGAAAAGCACATCGACACAATTATAATGGTCATTCAATTCATTTAGTGCTAGGAAAAAAGAACTAACACGGACAGACAGAAACAACCGAGGGAAAGTAAAGAAGCAGTGGATCTGTCAGTGGCGCCCTGCAAACATCCGCAGGAAAGGTTCGTAAGCGGGTGGTTGGTGGAGGGTGCCACTTTTTAGGTTCTTATCTTTTCGTTCTGTCTGTTGTCTCCGTCCATAGTTCTTGCTTCTTCCCTGTACTATGAGGCAGTTATATGTGTCGGTGTGCTTTATCTCTTTCCTCAAACTGAAGGTTCTTGTAAACATTCTTGAAACTTTCAATTTGAGTACATAGAATTAAGCATATCGACCCAAGAACGGTTACTTTGGGCATAGTTTTAGTAAGAGTTTTACGGCACTTGTAACACAATAAGGTTATATAAGTGCCGAAAATTAGAGGTGTCACAAGAGAGTAACAAACATAAAAAGGAGGAGAAATCAGGATGATAGATGTTTGATAGGAAAGAAGAAGCAAACCACACCAGAGCACCCGCCACATTTTGTGCATAAAAAAAGACACGGACAGAAACAACGGAGGGAAGGAAAAGAAGCGGGACCTACAAGTGCCCCCCCCCAGGCCACTAGCAGTCCTTAAATAAACATTGCTGGGGTGTTGTTTTACAAGACAGTATGTCCAGGTTCGTAAAATATTCAGGAGACCACCCCCCCCCCCTTTCCCCCCAACAAAAAAAAAACCCTACGTCTTTGCCTCTCAGTAACAACTTCTTTTGAAATTCAAAACACCTTCCGAGCCCTATTTCTTACAAATACCGACACTCGACTAAGACAAAAACGTGTCCTGTGTTTTATACTATAAGATGGAATCGATATTCTAAATTTCGTCCAAAACTGAATTTACTGTCTTTTACGGGCCTC